GGTTAAATCTTGTTGGGCATATAATGGAATTCTCCTGAATGTTGAGTGATTTGGAAAAGAAAGAATTTGGCTCTACCCATCCAATTTTGACTTTTGTAAATGTGTTATTTGAGTATATGACCCAGTTGAAAATATGAAATCTAGCAATTATGTGCCATTGTCATTAAAAATAAATAAATCTCCAGCACTGTTTTTAAAGAAAGTACCTCTCAGAAACCTGTGGAGCTAAATTGGGGAGAATGTGGACACAAAATGATGCCATGAGACATTTGTACTAGTCTTATTGGAGTTAAAAACTCTGGGTAATAATCTGCAACTGAATTCCCAACGTGGTCAATATGGACCCCCAATCATTGATAGGACTATGCATTACTATTGTTGTTCATATTTGAGTGATTAATTGATCAATACCAACATTATTTTTACTCCAAGCAACCACATAGATTTTCTCCATGATGTTCTATCCATATTAGATAAATATTTATTAAATTATTTTATATAATAAATGTTTGGGAATTGATGAAAAATTCTAAAGCTTCATGAAGTTGAACTTTTCAGGATGAAGTAAAGTATCTGGGGTCCTCTGATCTGCAGAAACCACACATTAAGCATGCTTGAGGTGGATTTGCGCAGACAGTATTGATTCTAGTTCAGAAAAGGAGAAGGAGGAGGAGGGGGAGAAGAATCAAGAGGAGGAGGAGGGGGGAGGAGAAAAAGAAGAAGGGGAAGGAGAGAAGGAGAAGGAGATAGCACCTGATCTATTTAGTCAATATGGTGAAACCAACTGAGAAGCTGGGATGACACAATTGGAAAATAAATACCTTTATTATACCAAAATATGCCATTTTGGAAGACATTTTTGGCATAATAATTTTGAATGTAAATACTTTAAATATTTCATCTATTAATATTCCAAATGTACTTATAAATATTCAGAAAATATGCATTTAAGAACAGTTTTTTTAAAAGCTGGTTTTAGGGCGAATTGCTGAGGTAAAAATAAAAATCCCTGAATGACTCAATGTTCTGCTTCAATGCCTCTCAATGGAAATTCCAGAAAAGTCTTTAAAAGATGGGGGGGAAGAAGTGTATGTGTGTGTGTGTGTGTGTGTGTGTGTGTGTGTGAGAGAGAGAGAGAGAGAGAGAGAGAGAGAGAGAGAGAGAGAGAGAGAGAGAGAGAGAGAGAGAGAGAGAGAGAGAGAGAGAGAGAGAGAAAGAAAGAAAGAAAGCATAGAGAAGTATTAAATTCTCAAAATAGATGTAAGGTTATGCTGATGAACCTCTCCATAAAGATCAGACAGAGCAACTAATAGGTTATAGGTTACCATGGTTAGCGAAGCTCTGCATCCCGTGGCTGATTTCGTCCTGCCAGGGGACCCTAACTGGGTCTGAAGTCGCCATGGAGAGGTGGCAAAGGAAGAGGGGCACCCTGTTGATCACGGAAAGGTGGCAGTCATTCTGTTTGATCTGGGGGAAGCCCTCTGACCTGACAGGAGAAAGGCTAGCCGCATACCAGCATCTAACCCAAGCTACCTGCAGCTGAAGTCCAAAAGCATGAGCCAGAACAACGGTGAACAGCATGCTTGGAATTGGTGAGAGTATTTCATCTTCTCTCTTCTATTTTGCAACTAAGTCCCTGAGAAAGATTCCCAAAGCAAGAAAACCTCCAAAAGTGAAGGGAGGAGACTACACTTCCATTCCCCCATAGACAGAAGCAGCAAATTAATCTTTAAGAAGGAAAGAAACATACTGCAATTAAATTTAAAATACTACAATCTGATTAAATTTAGAAACTAAAACAAACTGCCAAGACTATATTCTAAAGGTTTTTGATGAAATTATATAAAAAAGGAAACTGCTAAGAATAATTTCTTGTCTGAAAGAACTGGAAAACAAACAACTGCTGATATCTAGTGGAGAATTAGAACATAGCACATTAAAGACAACGTCCAGAAACAAAGAAAAAGCTGTTCCAATGAACTCTAATAACCTTTAAGAAGATAGCTGCTAGGGAACAAAGAAGAGAATGTACACTGGGCCAGCTATAAGATTGGAAAGAGTCTGAAGGAAAAGAAATACTCTAATTGTGGTCTAATTGTGAATTGTTTACATAAAAAGAAAAACTTTGATTTATGACTAATCTTTGAGGGGGGGAAGTTACAGGAAGGATTTAAGGTGGCTAAATATATTGAACTGTAATTATGATTGGTTGACAATTGACCCCTGAATGAAAGAATTGTTATAAAACATTAATTTACTGAAATCTTGATAAGTGAAAATACAATGGATGATAAAAATTATATTTTTATTTTATATTTTAATTATATTTCTATAAGAACTATAGAAAACTGGACTGGATTTTGAGTTTTGGCTGGCTTGACAAGGCTAATTACAGAGATTATGGCACTTATGATGGATTACTTGAAAGGGGGAGACAACATGGATATGACATAGTCATCAAAAAATGATAGAAAACCACATTTAATACCTACTCCTGAAGGACTCAACTTGAAAGATCAAAGACCTCTAGAAGCAATATTCCAAGATAAGACAAATACTTTCCAAGAGGAAATTTATGTAATGCTATGACAGATACAAATCACAATAGCTTTAAATCACAAGGAGATTAAACACAACTTTGATAACATAAATGAATACATTTCTAACTTAAATTCACAATCAAAAAATATCCAGAGAATGATGGTAAAGAATGCACAAACAAACCAGATAACAGAACATAAACTAGAAAAAAATGACTTAATCGGTGAAGCCACAAATGAAGATACAATGATAAATATGGAAAAGATACCTTATGCATTAGAACGTCAAAATAAACCTGAGGAGAAGAAAGAAGAGTTAACAAAATGGACATTGCCAGGAGAATCATTGTTTGGGAGATAAAAAGCATATATCTTACGTACTCTTGATCCTCCTTTCCCAACAACAATTACAAAAATACAAGAACTGCCTTACAAGATGAAAATATTAATTTGGAAAACTATTTGGCAAAAGAAGAAGGCCAGAGACGGGTTCAAGAGATTTGACTTGCCCTACCAGATGGAATATTACATGAGCAAACACTTGTCTGAATACGGCTAAAGAGGCTCTACAATAAGAGGAATAAGAGATATAAGTAATTTAGTATTTTTGATAAGATACAAAATGTAAATGAAAATATGAATGAAAAGTTTGAGTTTTAGAGATAAATTAAGTTTGAAAAGATTTAGGATTAAGGAATGATTGAAATATTGAGGGGAAATTAGGCTTTCAAAATAACTTTGAAAAAAGGATATGTAGTGATTTAACAAATCAACTTTTACAAATAGAAGTGAAATATAAATTGATTAGAAAAGATGTTATAGGTCAGTGATGGCGAATCTTTTAGAGACCGAGTGTCCAAACTGCAACCCAAAACCCACTTATACATCGTCAGGTGCCGGGTGGGTGTGGCCCATTGGGTAGGTGTGGCCCATTGGGTGTGTGTGGCCCATTGGGTGGGTGTGGTTGCGGTGGTAACAGCAGACTGGGTGGGACTAAAAAGTTCAATCAATTAATTCCAACTTTGCAAGATCTTTTTTTTCCCACGAGAAGTTAAAATTGACTGATTGATTGAACTTTTTTTTTTTTGACATGGTGGCGGAGGCCTAAAGCAAAAAGGTTTTATAAAACCCAGCTGAAGGCCTAGGACTGGGGCGATGGTGCACGTGCCCACAGAGAGGGCTCTTCGCCACCACTGTTATAGGTAGATGTTATGATAGATAAGTAGTATAATATTTTATAACATATGAAAGATGAAAATATTGGGATGATGTATTTAAATGGAAAATTTGGATATTTAAATATTAATTACTGAGAAAATTATGAATGATAAGAATTGTTTAATATTAAGGAGAAATTGAGCTTAAACAAGTTTTATAAAAATAAGATATATGGTGAATCAATAAGATGATTTTTACAAAAATAACATAAATTGATAAGAAAAAAATGCCACATATGGACACTATTATTATTGGTATGTAGGGTTTCCTGCCTGAGCAGGGGGTTGGACTTGATGACCTCCAAGGTCCCTTCCAACTTTATTATTATTATTATTATTATTATTATTATTATTATTATTATTATTATTATTATTATTATTATTATTATTATTATTATTATTATTATAAAATGGCAGCCTTGCATATAAAGTATGTGGACAATACAATAGACAAGATAAAATATTAAGTTTGGGTAAAA